CAGTAAGCTTTATTCTCATTTGATCAGAACAAAAATCTTGGGGATTGTACAGCAAGGATCAAAGGAAAGAAACACAGAACAATTTGAATGCCATAAATCAGATAGGAATGGCTAATTAAATTTTATAACCTCTGCTTATGTCAATAGAGACCCTCTCCCCAAGCTGAAACTAGGTGTTTTGTTGTAATAATTAAAGGCGAAGTCTCGCTTGCTTTAATGGAGCCATCACACTAATTGAGGGCTACACATCCAAAGGAAAACAATAATGAATGTAAATTTATACCAAAATAAAGTACAGTGAATCAAAGGACTTCAGTTGCGCTTTGGGCCTCTTTCGGTATTTAGATCTCGGTGAGAAAACATTAAATTAACAGAGCTTAATTTGTAGCCTTTTGTCAGATTAACAAGTGTTGACAAGAGTTACCGGGGGAGAGTCCCCAAGAAGTATTGTGGGTAACCAATAGACAATCACACCTCATTACAATAATTAAAAAATACAGCAACATGCAAAACAGCATCCTCATGAAAGACACACAACTTTTTCTGATTGAGGTTTGTCTGTGCTGGCTAGTTCTTTTCATCTGTCCTTCAAATATATCATCTGACTGGGCAGGATGCTTTCTGAGGGGGGTCCTATGCTAGAGACATGCAGGCCAGTTGAGGATAGGTGGGTTTGGAAGTTGATGGTGAAGCACGAGTGGCAACGAGAGGGGAAATAAAAACCTTGGGTTACTTCTGCAAAGTTGGCCATGCTATTCTCCTAGAGCAAAAGCAAATGTGATGGTATCACCCCTCAACAAAAAACACTTGGAGAAGCTGTAAGAGCTGTGGTAGATAAGTACGCCATGGATGCTGACTTGTTATAAACCAGTGGTGATGACACAGTCTTCCTGTGACAGAGATGGCCATTAGCCTGATGAAACTGGCCACACGTGGCAACATTTGAGTGGTTTGGCAGCCATGACATGAGGTGCAAGGAGGACAAACCTGTGTCTGCAAACATAAAGATGTAAGGCTCTGAGACACAGATGAGCAATGAGGCACAGGTCAATGACAGTGAGGAATTTCTTCCCTGCACTCTCACGTCTTTAATGTTACTGACTTTTGGCATTAGCTGAGTATATTTGTTTTAAATGCCGAGGCTGTTACTGTGCAAACTTGAGGTAAGCAGTTGCAACAGAGGAGCATGAGATGGCTGTACTGCAGCTGGGCCCTGCAAGCAATAAAGGAGCTGACATGCATTCTACCAGTGTTCAGGGTGTCCTACGTAAAAAGTAAATCACCACAAATGAGGAATTTAAGATTTCAGGGAGCAAGGCTCTGGGTTTTTCTTCTGCTCATGCTGTGCTCTTCTGGAGAAACAGCCTTCTGCAGAGAGCTGATGGACATGCTTCACCCTCAGGGTGGGAGAGCCTCTACCCAAACAAGTTGCACGACCACCCTGCGAGGAAGGGCAGCCTGCAAAGTGGCCAGAAGCAGGCTGCTGTGGCCGAGGTCTGAGCTCCAGCTCTCCTGCATCCACACTTCTGTGCTTGAGAGGCCCCCAAAGCCTTTGACACTAATTCGCCTCCCTGCCCAAGACCTGCGTGTGTGTGGGGACCCCCTGCTCTGCCCTGCTCTCCTACGGGGTGCGAACTCCATTTCCTTACAGAGGGCAAACTTGTGAAGAGGTATTTTAGCACAGCTGGCCAAACAACCTCGAGCTGGAACAAACTTTTTCTAGCTTTGGGCAATTCATTTCTAAAGAAATATGATCTCCTCAAAATTGATGAAGCCTGTTATGTGAGAAAAATAGGGTAATAGTCTTGATTTATAATGCAGAGAACTGTTGCATCCAGCAATACAAATGTATTTTGTAAGTATTTAAATCAAATATACTGTACAAAAGGCCTCAGCAGGGCTTAAGTGCATTATAAACCCATTGCAGAGACAGCAACATAAGAAAAAAAAGAAAATAAGGACTTAATTGCTGGAGGGAACCTCATACCCAACAAGGGTCTGCAAGTGGGATATGAGGAGCTGAAAAGAAAACAAAACCCCAAACTAACTTTCCACGGCTCTTTTTCTTAGCCGGTTTGAAAGTAAACTAATTCCTCTTTCTTGTTTGCAAGAAAATTCCATTCCTTAGATGCCAACTGCCCAGCCACGTCTCGACCAGGAATGCTGCTCACTGGCTGATGTAAAGCTCTACTGTTTCACAGGAAAAACGAAAGGGGTTTCAACAAGGAAGGCCAATGAAATTTCAAATTGCACATTTATAGTGAGGATGGCCCTGGTAAAAAACAGTCCATGAGAACTACCCTGAGCCCCCAGAAAACCAGATCTGAGAAAAACCCACGTGGTGAAGTGTAAATGCATCAACAAGAAAAGGACATTTCTGCAGAAGGGTTTAAAAATTCACGCTTCACAAGCTGTCAGCTGGTTGAGATGACATGCAAAGCTGCGTCCAACTGCTCATGTTTGTTTAAGACCACATGACCTGGCATAAGTTTTAATTAATCTTCATGAGGTGGGTAAATTCATAACCACTCAATGAAGTGGCAGTTGGCAAACAGACTTATCTCAATGCCACACACATGCGCACACACACGATTTTTAACATAAATTTTACACATCAAAAAAGAAAAAGGAAATTAAAAAAATGGAACTCCTTACTGTGGTACTAACCATCCTAGCGGATGGGGGATTTGTCCTACAGTGCCTGGTGATAACGGATAATAAGGAGATATATCTGGAGGATGTGGAGGCCTTGGAATTCCTATGGAAGAAGAACATAAAGCAGCGTTAGGATTGAGACGTGGAAATAAATAAAATATAAGGAAAAAACACATACGTTTCTAAATTGCTATCTATTCATTTTTATTACAATACTCATGGCTTCACTTTGGGTTTCCAAAGGCTGTTTCACAGTCTTATTTTATAAAGTGAGCCTCTTGGCATCTTGTTAAATGAGATTCAACCAGAAAAATTGATGTGATTTGCTCCCTCAGTCACCTCTCCAATCAGAGATAATTATTTTGTTATTTAGGATGAGAATTTAGGAGTCTCAGCTATAGTTTTGGTGTGATGCTATGCTAGATGCTGTCTTAAATGCCCAACAGAAAGATGGTCCCTGTATCAACTTCATGGTTATTTTAGTCTCAAAGTCACCAAAAGAGCACAGGCCCTACCCATACGTTGACTGGGTACTCAATAGCATGGCGTTATTCCAAAGTAACCTCCAAAATGAGTTACAAAGTCATTATAATTGCAAACAAAGTTTGCTTTTGAGCAGACCTAGGAAACCTTTCCCAAAACCTAGGGGTGGAGGTGAGAGCCCCTGGAAATGCTTGGTAAAACCAGGGGCAGATGTTGAAGGCATGCAGGGGAGAACAGAAAGCCCATCCATCCTCTCTGAAACTGGTGCAGTTCCTACTCGGAGAGCAGAAGACAGCTCCAGACACAAGCCTTAAATCTTAACGCTCCTTACCTTAAGAACAAGTAGGAATTACTCAGAGGAGTAAGGGTTACAAGACTGGGTCTTTCAATTAACAAGCCAGTGCACAATTACACAGCAGAAGCAAAATTAAAACAGAGAGCATTAAAAGGAAGGGGTACTGTATTCATGGCTAAAAACTATTTTTTTAAGTCACTCGGGAAGCTTTTAATCTCTAAATTAAATCTCCTTGTGTGACATTTTCATGCAGACATTGCTTTTTCTCCATTACAAAACCCAAACAGATTAACTGGGCTTTAACCATCCGGCGAGCTATTTGCACACTTGAAAGAATGTTCACAGAAGAAAAGTAAACAGTCCACAGACGTTAATCATATGTTTTACGATAACCATTTAAAAGCTATTCCCTGTACTACCATTATTTAAATGAGAGGTTGACTATGCCATTCACTTGCAATACCCAGGGATGGCGAGATGGATTCCTTTTAAGCCATGTGAAGTTAGCATTAAGCACAATTAAAAGGGGGCCCCAGTTGAAGCGTAGGGAGTGAAAACCAGCTAATGCACAGCCTCATTCAAGGGCTGGAGTTTAGATAAATTATCTGCATACATTAGGGCTGACATAGAGCAATTCCTTTGACGTGAATTCAGTTTCTGATGTACTTTCCAATTAACTAGCTGGGATTTGGATTAACAAAAACAAAAGCACTGTCACTAGGAACTCAGTGCAGCCCGAAGAAAGAAGATTGACACTGTTTGACTTCTCTGAGCCCTCAGGTTAAACAGGGACTCTTAAAAAGTTAGAATAACATGTAAATTCTACTCTGTAACACCAATAAATCTAGTCAGGGTTTTACGCGGTGCTCTATATTCAAGAAGACTGCCCTTCAGGCTGAACTGAGAGTTGGGCAGATTTACATTGGGGAAAAGAGTTGCAAGTGTAGAGCTGGAGCTAAGTAGTTAAGAGTGGATGAAAATTCAACATTATAGGAGAAAAATGGCTGAACTCCTGACACAGAAACAATGGGATTTGGGGAATTAAGAGAGATTCATTTTGAAACTGGTCATAACCCACCACCTTTAAAATTCCAGCTGCAATTTGTAAGTGCAGATCACAGAACGCACATGTTTAACTCTGGGTTGTGCATGCAAACCAAGCACTTGGTAGATCGAACTACTAGCTGGGGTATCATGCTTGCAAAGAAATACACCTGCAAACAACCTCACACAGGCAACTCTGGTATCACCCTGCAGAAGCTTTATGAAAATTCACCCAGTAGGTTTCCTTCTGAAGCCTAATTGGCTTAAAAAGAAACTATTTTGTCTGGGTTCTTGCATGCGTGTGACATTTTACATGCCCCCTTTGGTGCTCCAGCATAGGAAATCCTTCCTCTCGCACTCCTTCCCCCTAATACGCAAAATGGAAAGATCCACACACCCACTCTCAAAAAGCCCCACACTATTTCCCACCTACCTGTTTTGGGATCTACGTCGGCTGGTAAGTGTGGAGGAGGGTTTCCCGGTGTGAAGTGCTCATTGCTGTACGTGATAAGCGGTGTAAGAGGGTGTACATGGTGTGGGTGCTGCACAACTGGCACTTTGTTAGACTGTCAAGAGAAAAAGGTTGACAGCGTTAGAGGAGTGCCAGGTACTCCCCACTGCAGCACAAGGCATGGCATACAGAAATCTGAGTACCCAGGATTTCAACACGGTCCTCGGACTTTTCCAGATCCCTTCTCGGCATCACCCTTGCAGTTTTCCCACTCTCTTGCTTAAAACCTCCTCACATGCTTTCCTTGCTCTTGAGTTTCTTTAATCTTTTTGACCTGTTGTGCTCCTGTACGGAGCAACAGCAATTCTTTAAAATCTTTCCTTTTTAGTTTATAATCTTACGCTTCACCTCCAAGATGCAGGCAGACTCCTCAGTGAGGGGCTGACAGAGTCCCCCATTTAATTAGCACGAGACCCAGGTGCTCACTGACCTGGTAGGTCTTTTCCTTTCCCCTTCCTGTCCTCACTTTCAGTTCTGCATTTTACCGCTCATTGCAAATACTCCAGATAAAAAGCCTTTGTAGTGCTAGAGTATTCCCTTCATCAGCAAGCCTTAAGCTGACAAGCGATCACCTGCATATTTTTTATATATATATATTTTAGAAGAACTGATTAATTATCAATTCATGAGAGTGCTAATAAATGGAAACTGGATACTGATGAATTAGGATACTAAAATATTCAGCTATATAAATAATGGCAAAACCACAGATAAAGCCATTGAAATTAACACCCTTGTGGGGGAAAAATAATCATGCAGATATCATGAGGTTTTCCCTGTCACATTCCTAGCTCGGGGGGCAGGGGGGAATCTTTTTCTTAACAACAAGAAAAAAAAAAAGGAGTGAATGAATGAAAGGAAAAGGCAGGCTGAACTGTAACTTACCCTTACAAGATCACAAAGAAAAAATTAAGCTGAAACAAGCGAACTGCTGGACCATTTACTGTGAGTAATCCAATTGCAAAAAACCCTATTCCCCATAGAGGATTTTCACTAAAATCCTACAACAGGGACATTTAACCAGATTAGGTACCAGCAAAGATAAAGAGGCTGGTATTAGATGATGAATGGATTAGAGTCAGGTTTCATTTTAGAATGTGTCTTCATTTCCTTTTATTACTTTAAGTAAGGAACAACTTGCATTAACATCAAGTAAAAGGCATCACATTAAAATAAAGTAGTGATACCACGGCGGCCCCCAATAGCGCCGCTGCCGTTCAGGGTCTGCCAGCGCTCTCCTGCTTGCCCTCCTGCCTGAGGATGGCTCCAACCCCACCACTCGCTCCCCAGCACCCCCAAACACACGCACCCTCACTGCACCATTTCAGACAAATTATTATCTGATCTCGGTTTGAACACTTCTAGCTTCCCTTAAAAGCATTTGAAAAAAAATTCACTTATTCTTTGGGAATGAGTATCTAGACTGGGGGGAAGGAAGAGAGAAGACAGACTGAGAGCTAGGAGGAAAAGGAACGTCAGTCTTCCCCAAAACAAACAAGAAGCCGCTCCATCATGCTTTGGTCAAGACACAGCAAAGCTTCACCTTCAGCTCTTCCAGCCTCACCCACCCCGGGAGGCTCCCCCAGCCCCAACCGTACATAGGTATTTGACTCACCCCTTTGATAACATGCAGAAAAAAGTGTGCATCCAAGAGAAGCAAGCCAAAGAGCAGTGCTTATGCTTCCCACAACTTTTACCATGTGTATTTGTTTTCGCAGCCCTTACACGGAATGATTCCCCTCTAACAACACACGCAGGAGAGTCCCACATCAAGCGGCCACCACGCAGCACAGAGCATGGTCATGACAGCCAATGCTATGAATTACAGTACGCTGTGTTGGCTGGGCTGTAGGTCAAGTCTTCTGCCAGCTGTACAATCAAGGACAACTTTTGGCTGCACAGATCCGTAATGGTTTCACATCAGAGGAGCTATGGGGATTCAGTCCCTTAATTCAAAAAGCCAAAGGAGATGCTCTAACCCAAAATCTGTCCTCTTCCAAATGAACCAACCCAAGCAGTCCGAAAGTATCTGAAAGGTTTGGCAAGGGCTTCATGTTAACACATCGTATCACACACCATGCAAACTAGCAGGCATCTACTCAACAACACATGACATTGTATGTCAAATGACCACTTGATCTGGTTCACAAAAAACAATCATTCCCAGTAAGAGTGATTTTTGCTGGCCAAGAATTTTGTGAACTCTTGCTATTAGGTGACCCACAGTGTGGCTTGTAGCTGCTGTAGCTCTGTGCTCTCCCAACTCTATCTTCACATCACTGCAAAAAAACCTTCACCCAGATCCTGACAGACATTGAGGGTTGTCTTCCACGGAGAGCTTATTTTTATAGAAACTGGAACCGGTTAGTTAAAAAAAAAAAAAGTGACAGAATAACATTAGAGAGTCGAACTTAAGCCGACAAACAAAAAACAACACGTGAGAGGAAAGCTGGACTTACATGCCTGTTACACCAAAGCCAGATATACCATAGGGGGTTATATGTAAACTGTGGGAAACTACCACCCACTGCTTTGATATACCAAGACCCCCTGCAATATCTCCACAAAATGGCCTGAGTGCTAAATTATTATGTATTTTACTGAACACCTTTCAGAGAAGAATAAAAAGCAAAAGGAGAAAAAAAATTATAAATCAACAACCAAGAGTTTGAACCTTAGTCTGCAACCTTTTCCCCAGGTAAGTAATTTTTTTTTGGGTGACTGCCCTGCAGTCAAACAGACAATTCATATAAAGGTACTGGATGTAAGGGTAGGATACTTTTTTGCCACTCTGATGATGCTGGAGCAGAGGTGTGGGTGTGGGGAGAATGTACCAGGGGAAAGGGGGAAATTGTCATCTACATGCTCAAAAATATGCTCTCCAGGACAGAGGAGTGTGATCCATTGCCCCTGCAAATCAGTCTGCATCCGTATCACTACCCTGGGCTAGGTTTGTATTCTGTTTTGCACTGTTTATCACACACTGGGAAAAGGGACGGTAACTCCGCTCAGAATAGCACGCACAATTCGCAAGCCGAGCTGATCATGCATGATATGCTAAATAAGCTGCTCTTTAAAAGCAGCATTCCTGAAGTTAACTAAGCTTCCTTGGAAAAGAGAGAAAGAAAGGACTAGCTGGGAAAGAGCAGGATTAATCCCGCACATACATCCTCCTTTGAAGTCAATGGGAGCTCTGCCTGAGTAACAAGTGTGGTCCTAACCCCATCCACTGGCAATGAAAGGTAAACCACAGAAGCCATCAATAGGAGACACCTATTAGATGACCTTAGCCATCCCTCTGCAAAAGGCCCTTCTCCAATATATATTTGCAAGTACTTTATCAAGGGTAGTTTTAAGCTAAAAGCCATTGTGAGATGCAGGAATTTCTCTGGCAACTTGAAGAACTCCATTTATGGCTATGTCAGGCACAGAAAGAAGAGCTGCACTGGTACGCACAGATTAGCATCAGGGCATGCGGTAATAGGACGGGACCAAGTGGAGGTTTCTGGAGAGAAATCCCAGCATCTACAAAGTACCAAGTCATCTGCTGATAAATCACTCCTCTCCACTGAAAGCTGGGGTCTCATATGCTGGGTTAGAGGACATGGTAAAGAATTGCAAAAAAACAACAGAAGTTTGCTTTTCTTGATAACCCCTGCCTGAAGCAAACCAGAGGAAATTGTCCCCATAGGGACTCAACTACTAAATCTCTCTATATGAATTTGAAATGCTTCTGGGAGTGTTTAAACACAGATGACTTTAAACAATAATGGAGCTCTGGAATGAAAAAAAAACCCAAAACCCACAACAAATTTTGGACTGATATATGTTTGAGAGGGATACTGAGATCCCTTTAGCCTAAATTCCAATAGGTGCCTTTAGGGAACAAAAAAAATATCTGAACTTCAGGTTTAAACTGCAGGGGATTGTGTGTATAAATTGCTGCGTATTAGTCTTTGTTGCATGGTAAGGACATTTCATTAACAGGATGAAAGATACTTCTATGCATATACAGCCCAATTTAATACACCCCACTGATGAATACTCCCCATTTATTGAAGAAGTTAATACATGCTGTATAAATCAATAGTTCCTAAGTCTCTGAAAGCAACATAAGACTTGCAGGAGATGAAACATTGTATTGTTGAACACACAAGAGAAACCGACCTTTAAATAGGAAGAGTTTGTTACTGCAAATTCTGTTTGCAAATTCATAGCTTGTTTGGCTTTGGTAATAAAAACATGGTATCAACTCAAAGTCAGAGGAAAACATGCCAGAGAGGCCAGAGGATTTGTCCTCACTGGCATAACGTGGTTTTAGTAGAAGCAGGTCTGCAAAAAAAGCCACCCGGGCTGAAAACAAGCCATCATGCCATTGCAGCAATCACAGCGGCCAAAGCCTTCGGCCTCAGATGAACGGCCAGCGGGAGACCCCACTCTGATGCATCCCCGGCTGAGCAGCCAAGGGCAGGGCAGGGGGGATGCTCCTGCCCCAGCACAACCTGAAACTCTTACGGCCGCCGGCACAGCTCCCGCAGCCACAGCCAGGAAGGGACCCCCTTCCCCGACCCAGGGAGACCTTTTAAGTGTACTTAAAGCCTTAAGCCCTGCTCATGAGGCAGGGAAGGGCTGCCGCTCGCCGGGCACCCCCCAACCACCCACAACCGGGAACGTGGCAAGGGAGGGACTGATCAGGCATTTGCACCCTGGATCCCCACAGCCCCCTCCCCTTCCTCCACTAAGGGTAACAGAGGAGGAATGAGAGCTCACCACCCACCTTAAAACCTATTAATCAACAGACACTGAAAACAAACGGAGCTAGAGCTCCGCCTGTCTTTTTTGCCATGTCCTTGTTTCCCCATTGCTTTTCCTTTCTGATGAAGAAAGATGGGCCTGAAAGTGCCTTTATGAGCCTAATACAATAAAACAAAAGCAGCACAGAAGCGGGTTTGTCAGCCTTTTCCCCTCCTCCAGGGTGGATGCAGGAGGTCGACAGTGGTCTTGAATTAGCAGGCCCTCCTGGAGTTGCTCCCTGGGCTAAGCAAAGGGTATCAT